CCCCCCCTCCAACCGTCCCAAAACACAAAACAAACGTCCAGCACGCCCTCACGCGGGCGATCTCCTAGTGCCGACGGCGGCTGTCCTCTGCTGCGCCACCTCGCCCGTTGCGTCCTCCTCTCGGTCTGCCTCCGTTGCCTCCTGGCCCGCCCCGCTGGCCCGGCCATCCGCCGCCCCGCCCGTTGTGTCCGTTGTGGCGGTAGTTGGCGTGCTGTCCATCGGCGGCGGCCGGGTGCGGCAGAATGACCGGGAAGCCATTCGGCTGCTGGTGCTGTGGGTGGGGCTGCAGGTTGGTGAAGTGCGGATTGATGTCCGCGTTGAAGGCCGCCTGCTGCTGGTGGTGGTGGTGGTGGGCGGGGTGCATGTTGTGGTTTGCCCACCCGCCGTAGACGCGCTGCGGGCGATGGAAGGGCTGGGGCTGATGGTGATGATCATGATGATGGCCGCCCTGCCCCATCGCACCCCCTCCCCCAAGATGCTGGCCGTAGTTGCCCAGCAGCCCGCCTCTGCTGTCGTGGCCGCCATGCTGTCCCTGCCCGTATCCAAAGTGTCTGCCGTTGTGGCCGGCGCCGTTGAGGGGTGTGTCGGGAGGGGGCGGTGGGCGGGTGCTGTTGTTGTTGTTGTGCAGCGGCGACTCTCCCATAGCGAACCCGTTGACCTGTTGCTGCACACAGACATATACAATACACACAGATGCTTACACACAATCATAGTGTATGTCTGTATTCCTTCCTCACCTCATGTGCGGGTGGCTGGGGGAATTGGCCATGGCCGTGGCGGGCTCGTGGGCCAGCGGCGTCGGATCGAATTGGATTGGCGGGGGTGGCGGGGGAGCAGCCGAACCAAACAGCTGGGCAACATGGGCATCATGAGGCCTGGCTGCATGCCGTTGCCCATGGCGGCGAGGGCCATTATGGGGAGAGGGGGCTGCGGGAAGAAGGGCACAGGGGGCACCGCTGGCATCATCTGCTGCGGCGCAAATGGCTGCACCCCCGCGGGCCCCCCTCCCTCACCACCACCGACGGGCTGCTCCACAGCCGGAGGCGCCAACACACCCGCACCCGCACCCTCCCCCTGCCCCTCCCCATCCCCTCCCTCAGCAGCGCTCTGCTGCGCCTCAGGCGGGGGGAACTGCGGTGACTCCACGGCCACGGCGATGGGTGGCGGAGGAGCGATGGAGTGGGCCGAGTTGGGGATAGATGGCGGCACGAACGCGTGCATTGGCTGCAGCTGGGGCTGAGCAACAACACCTGCCGGGGACGCCTCACCATTGCTGGACTGCCCGAGTGCTGCTGCAGGGTTAGAGGGGGGAACGACCACAACATCACCCTCTTGCTGCTCCTGCTGTGCGCTCCCTGCCGCCCCGCCGTCTCCCTGGCCCTCCTGCTGAGGCTGTGGCTGTGGCTCCATTGGCTGCTGCTGCTGCTGGTCAGCCACTTGGACGAAGTTCGGCTCACCAGCGGCGTCCGCTTCCAGGCGGTAGTTGGAGGGCGGGCTGTAGTAGCCCGGTCGTTCTCCGCCCTCCGGCTGCATGCCGAAGTAAGCACGGGGTTGGAAGGCCTCAGGAGGCTGGCGGCCGCCGTGCAGCTCGACATTCTGCCCCAACCACTGCATGGTGTCAACCATGACGGCCTCATCGGCGGCCTCACCCTGTTGGCACGCCGGCGGCTGCATACAGAGAGAGGGAGCGATGGTTTGAGTGCTGTCAGGATCTGGTGTGGCATTGTGGATTGTCTTACTTGGTCTGTGCCTTGCTGATCTTGGTCAGCGGGCGGCTGCTCCGCGTTACTTGGCGGCGGCTCGTCAGCAGGCCGCTCGTCAGGTTGCTCCTCAGCAGCAGCATCTCCAGACAACTCGGCAGCAGCATCAAGAGGCGATGGCCCGTCCTCCGTCTGCGCCTCAACACTCTGCAGACACATAGAAAGGAATCAGAGACACAGAAACCGATGAAGGTGACAGACAGAGAGGTTCTCCTGTGTTCCCTTCCTGCTCACCTCGACAACGACAATCTCCGTCTGGGTCGTGGCATGCCCCTTGCCCTTCGCCCCCTCCCTCCCCATGCCCTCCCTCGCGGCCTTGAGGCACTCGTCCTTCACCTTGACCAGGATCGCCATCTCGTGCTCCTTCTGCAACTTGCTCTTGACCTTCTCGGCCTCCTCACGCGACAACGTACTGGGCTCCCGCGCCTCCAGCCGAGCGATGGCTTCGAGGGCCTTCCTGTACTTCTTGATCTCCTTGAGGATGATGCCGAAGCTGTAGTCGTGCTCCTTCAGGTACTTGATCAGCCGCTCGTCGTCCTCCTGCCCGGCTGACTGCCCCTCCCCGTCCTCCTTGGGCGGCGTGTCGGTGTCCTGGTGCGTCTGCTGGGCGGGGGTGCTGCTGCTGTCCGCTGACAGAGGCTCTTGGCTGAGTCCCGGCTCGTCCTTGCGGGCTTGGTCCTCGTTCGCTGGGGCGACGGCATCAGGTGCGGCCTGGGAGGGCTGGTTGGCGGGCGATGCTGCCGGGGCGGGCTGTGAGTTATTCTGAAGCGCACAGAGACCACAGGGACGTAGCAGAGGCGTGTGGATGGTCAGAATGTGAGGGCATGATAATCATCATGTGCATTTCTCACCTTGTTCTTGTTCTTCTTCTTCCCCATGACTGACGGGATGGTGGGGATTGTGGCTGAGGCTCTCCTCTCTTCGGGCCTCGCTGAAAGAGAGAAGAAGTGGTGATTTCAACGGCAAGGCTCGCGCCGTTGAAAGCTCGCAGGTGCGAAGCTTCAGAACCCTTTCTTACGGGGTAATTTTGCCGCGTCATGCAGCCCGCCACGCCATTCGCACGGCAGAAGAAGCGACGCGGATCTGATCCAGGTAGGCAGCACAGCGGTCCGTTGCATTCATTCATCCCATTCGGTCGTTCTCACATTTGCAGATTCATCAGACGGTGCCGCTGCTGATCAGCCCAACGGCCATGGTGCTAGTCCCTCGTCCGGCGAGGACATCCCGCCGTCCATTCTGAGTGGCCTTGCAGACTGTCAGCGGATTGACCTGCCTGGCGCCGACGTGCTGTACGTGCCCCGCATCTTCACGAGAGAGGAGAGCACGGCCTTTGTGGCGCAGCTGGCGGCTCTCGAGCAGTGGAAAAGGCCCGAGTTCAAGATATTCGGCAAGGTGCACTTGCAGGGCAATTACAGCTGCCACTTCAGCGACGGAGGACAGCTCAACTACCGATACTCGGGCAGGGACAATGTGGGGCAAGAGGTACACCCAATCGCACACACAGACAGACAGACAGACAGACAGATAGACAACAGCGCCGCCCCTCTTTTCATCTCACAGTGTGTCTGTGCGACTGGTGCACCCATTCAGTTCCCCGAGTTTCTCCAGGCCATCAGGCGGCGTGTGGAGGCCGTTGTGAGGCACATCGACGGCCAGCGGACCGACGCTAAGATATGCCCAGGTGATGGTGAGTTCCAGTTCAACTACTGCCTGGCCAACAAGTATGAGGACGGCAACGCGTCGCTGGGGATGCACTCGGATGACGAGCGCGACCTCTTTGGACCCATCGCCTCAGGTGGGTCAGCCAGTGAATGAATGGATGAGGCAGACAGACAGACAGACAGACAGACAGGTGAATGTCGTGTGTGTGTGTGTGTGTGCAGTGTCGTTCGGCGCCACACGTCACTTCACCTTGGCCCACAAGCGGGACAAGTCGGTGAAGCGGCGGATTGACCTGAGTGACGGGTCTCTGCTGGTGATGGCGGGGGACACGCAGAGGAACTACAAGCACGGGGTGCCCAAGATGAAGAGGGTCACCGACATGCGCATCAACCTCACCATGAGATGCATCAGGCCCAGAGATAGCAGCAGGGCGAGCGGCAAGAAGAGGGCAAAGCGATAGATAGGATGCTACGGATACAGGAGTGGCCGCCTGAGTGGATGAGATGAGTACGCTAACTAACTAGTTACATGTGTGGGGTGTCTGTCTGTCTGTCTCTCTGTCTGTCGACAATCATGAGCGGAGCGGAGTGCCTTTCCTTTCGTATGCCGTGCTGTAGATAAAGGCAATCCTGGCTGCCAATTCAACTGTCACCAAAGGGTCCCTCCCTCGTCACGCACGGGTGTGGTGTGCAACAAATGCATCATCCATCGTCACGTCATGTCACGTCCAGACAGGCGCGAAACACGATTTAGCTATACAGCACACGAATAAAACCATCACGAAAGCAGACAGGACAGGACAGGACAGGACCTCTCTCTCCTTTGCACCGCACCCATCCGATGGATCCGATCTCACAGCCGCTGCTGCTGTGTTGACGTCACCTGAGAGCACACAGTTTCGCAGGTGGATATGTATAAAAACAAACGTGTGTCCGTCGCGGGCTGGACTGTCCGTGTGTTTGTCTGACCTTGACATCGACGAGTCTGCCGCCCCGGAGCAGCTGCAGCTTGACTGTATCGCCAGTGCGGTAACCCATGCTCTCAAACACCTGGACACACGCAAGCAACCAAGAATCAACCGAGTGTGTCTGTGTTGGCGTGTTGGTGCCCCTGTCCTGTGTTCGGGTGTGCAATGGTGTACCTCGAAGTGTGAGTAGACAGGCTGCCCGTTGACAGAGAGGATGAGGTCCCCACTCCGGATGCCCGCCTCCTCTGCTGGCGTGCCACCCTTCACCTGTGTGGTAAGACGACGCACGCTCCATGCACACACCCTCCCTCCCTCCCTCCCTCCTGCTTGCTGCCCATACCATCCAGACACACACATGCCTCACCTCACCTGAGCGACGAGGACGCCTCTCCTTGCCTTCTCCCCCCCTGGATGGTGGTGGGTGTCGGGGGTGTGTGCCGCCTTGGGGTGCAGCAGCTTGTCCCAGAACCGGCCGGCGCCCGACCCGCTGCCCTCATCCTTCTGAACCGTCTCCTCGCCCTCTACCTCATCCACATGATCCTTCAACACCATACCTGAACACGACACGTACAAACAAAGAAGCTGAGCTGGTACAAACTTGCTGATGTCACGTCACGGCATCCATCCATCCTACCGAGGTATGGGAAGGTCCAAGAGCCCGTCTCTTCGATACAGGAGGCGACGCCGTGGACATGCTGGATCGGCAGGGCCAAGCTAAGACAGACAGACAGACACATCGACCAAATCAAGAAGGGGTGGAAAATATGGGCCGAGGGATGAATTGATGAGTGGTGTCGTGTGTCTGCGGTGGCTACCCATATTCTTGGAACTTCTTGACCACCATGGCGACCACCTTGCCGTGGACATCGCACACGGGTGCGCCGGACATGCCGGGGATGGTGATCATGCCCATCTGAATGAACCGGATCCGCTGCCCCTCCTCCAACTTGCGAAACGACTGGACGAACGGCAAGCATATTTATGTATGTGCTGTATCATAATCCGCTGGTGATGGTGTCTGCTGAGCCACGTACTTGTCTTGGTTGGCTGACGGTGCCCATGACAGCTACTGGCTCGTCGCCGTACTGATGCACAAGACAGACAGACAGACACACAGACACACAGAGGAAGGGTGCGGTGCATCCGCCATACATGACGGAGGCTGACTGATCGAATTACCTGTGTGGTGCCATAGGTGACGACCCACTCTCCCTGCCGAGGACGCTCACGGAGGTTGGCTGCACCAGTCGTTCCGTCATGTCAAGTGAATGAATGGCATACGAGATTGAGAGACTGCAGTGTTTTCGTTTCTTTGAAGTACTTACCGAAAGTCACGGCGGGGAGCTGCAGGGGCTTGGGGGGCATGATCTGAAGCACCGCCACATCAGCATCTGGAGTGAGTGGAAAAAATCGACAGGCAGCAGCGTCTCGTCTCCCGGACCGCAGATCAATGAGGGTGTGGTGCGGTTCTTACCGCTGCTTTTGCCCCTGACGTTGGCCCTGAACCACCTGCCGTCGCTCATGCGGACGAAGTACTGGAAACCGCCAGGCGTCCCGGGCGGCGGCTGGGCCTGACACGACACGTGGATGTAAGCCATCACATCGACGCATCCACACACGGCACCTCAATCAATGCTTGTGGTTCCCTCGCTCCCCTTACCTCAAAGAGATGGCCAGCAGTCAGCACAAAGCCTGATCGCAAACACACCCCACATGATATCATAATGGGTCGATCGGCGGGGCCCCCACCTTCCCCTCCCTCACTCCCCCCTCCCTGCCTGGCTCATGCACCGCACCTTCCGGCTTGTAGATAAAGCCCGAGCCCAGGTAGATGGCGTCCTTGAGGGGCTGGTGCCGCTCCGCAGACGCATATATCCTGACCATTGCAGGCCGCAGCTGGTCAAACAAGTGGGCGAAACCCGACTGGAAGTCCAGCATCCCAACCGATGCAGACGGGGGGGACGAGGGGGGGCTTTCGGTTGCTGATGGCTCCTCGCAGCGGCAAGCAGATGGGCGTTGAGAGGGGGACAGCCATGACAGAAGCAGTAACACAGCAGCCATACCGGTCAGTGGGAAGAGGATGGAGGGGGCGTCTGCTGTAGGGTCCCAAGATGCTTCAGAGCCACACGGGAGGAGGCGAGGATGGTGCTGATAGCAGAGTCGCCTCCACGCTGTTTCGTGCTGCTGCGGGAGAGGGCCACGCATCCATCGGGTCACTGCACCCGTCACGTGTGGATGTGTTTGGTCGTCGCAGCGGGGTGTTGCATCGCAGCTGGGCTGCCATGTCGTTTGCTGCTGCAGGTGCTGGCTCCGCAGCCTCCCCAGAGCTGCCAGCACCCTCCTCCGAGCGCCGACGGGAAGAGCCGTCCTCATCCAGTCAACAAGGAACGGAGATCTTTGAATAAGACGAACGATTCGTGGGCAGGTGAGCCGTAGGGAAGCGCTCTGCGTGCCTTTTGCGGACGTGGCGATCCGTCTGCGAGCTTAGCTCCAGGGGGAGCAGAGGCCCGCCTTTTTCTGTATCTTCGTTGGAGAGACCGACATCTTGCTTTTGAAGCGGCGGCCATCCCATGTTTCCAGCTGACTGTCTTCCATCGTGGCTCAGACGCTGATAGTCGTTCAGCGTCAGGATGAGGCCGCATCAATTTTCCTCCGTGGCTGCCGCCCTGCCGCTGTGGCTCATCTACGTGGCCTCACTGCGCCCCTCGTCCCCCGTTCTCTCTTCCTTTGCTATCGGCCCTTTACCTGCCGCTCTCTCTTCCAAGCGCCTGCCCACATTTCATCCATCGCACAGCTGCTGCAATGGTCGCAGGGGACTCGCAGCTCCGTGGGTCATGATGGACGATGAGAGGGGCGGAGAAGATTCGGTGCTCACCTTCCACAGCCCGCCTCGTGACAGCAGCATTTTGCCACCATCGGAGTCGCTGCCTGACGGGACCACCGGCAACAAAGCAGCATCGCCTAACGCCACTGCAGCAGTGTCGGCTACACGAGAGGAGCCGTATCCAGATGAGAACGAGAATGGCTCGCGAGGCAGGACCTTCCCCCTCCACCGGCTGGCAAAGCTCGTCAGAGCGAGGAGGAAGAAACTGGCTCACGACACCACGAAGACGGCGGTCCGTCCGTCCCGGCCGCTGCACTCGTATCTCACGCCCCGGGTAGGACGGTCGTTTCTGCGCTCTTTCCTGGTTCTCGGCGCTCTATTCCCATTCAGCGGGCTGCTGGCTCGGCTATGGGGTGCCAAGTGGGTGGCTGGGGCGCCACCGTTACACCACACCTTCTACCTGAGTCGGTTTCTCTTCTTCCGTCTGTTGGGCGTCACTGCTGCTGGGGCCTTCCTCTCCATCGCAGCACAAGGTAGGCCCGCAGACCAGACACACACACAGTGGGTGCACTGCGGCATCCATCTCTTACGTCACGTACTCTTTTTCTGTATCACTGGATGTCGTTAGGCAACTCTCTGTTTGGTCCACAGGGGATCCAGCCCCTCTCCAGAGGCATTGCCGAGATCCGGCGACAATATAGGTTGCTCTCTGTGAAGGATAAGCTCCGTGAGCTGCCGTACGGCCTGACAGCCATGATATGGGGCGAGGGCAGCAGGGGGCGGGTGAGGGGCGTGATGGCTCTTGGAGTGTTGGCGGCGGTGATGAGCGTGTGCCACTGGGGAGGGCCGGTGCAGCCTCTGCTGCTGGCCACGCTGTATAGTCTGTACTTTGCTGTCATTCAGGTCAGTCCTGAAGTATCTGGATGAGTCAACCAAGCAACGGGGAAGAGGGAGATCGACAATTGGCCAGTTGGTGTCGTGTTCTGCATCTGTGTCATGCAGGCAGGCGACTCCTTCCTGACATACCAGTGGGACGTCCTGTTGTGCGAGTCGCTGCTGCTTGCCACCATTGCTGCCATCCCTTCCCCCAACTGGCTGGCACACAGGTACCTATGCCTATCTGCATGATCGCGTCGACGGACGAACGAATCGGATTGTGCCCACACTTGCTGTGCGTTACTCCCTTCCGTCAGGTTGTCGATGCTCCCACTTCAGCTCCTAGCTTTTCGGTACGCAAGGAGCGCATTTTGTGCGGGGAGGGGAGACAGCACCCGCCAGCCGCACACCACACCCACGCCTCCTCCTTTTCTCTCTGTCTGTCCGTGTGTTGTTTCTTTCGCAGTTTGATGTTCATGTCCGGCGTGGCCAAGCTGGCAAGTGCAGATCCGACGTGGTCCAATCTCACCGCACTGGATTATCACTTCCAAACCCAGCCGCTGCCCAAGCCTGCCGCAGCTCGGCTGCATCGGATGCCGCGAGCTGTCCTCCGCTTCGGGACGGCCCAGACCTTGGCAGTGGAGGTGCTGGCGCCGTTTCTCCTCCTCTGGCCCTTCTCATACGCCAGGACAATCGGTGAGTGATGCGAGAGGGGCAGCAGGTGCTGACTGACACGTGCGCTCTTGTCGATCGTCGTCTTGCCTCCTTTCTTCGTCTCACAGGTTTCGTGTTGCAGCTGATACTGCAGCTGGGCATCATGTATGCGGGACACTTTGGCTTCTTCAACTTCCTCACCATCGCGCTGCTCACCACCACCCTCGACGACGCCACCCTCATGCCACTCGCCAACGCATGCCGCGACGCATTGGCAAGCACCCCGCTCGCTCAGCTCTCTCTCCCAGCTGTCGGCCAATGGCTCCAAAGTCAGATCGGGACATCAGCTTTATCAATGAAGCGTCTCGCTCTCTCGTCAGCGCCCTTTGGTTTGGTCGCCACACTCATAGCGGGTGTGTACTGCTTGACCATGACGCGGGCGCTGCGGTTGGGTGGGGGGATGGGGATGTTGCGGTCCTGGCGGAGTGTGGTGGGGAGCTTTCTGGTGGGGTCGCCGTACGGCCTGTTTGCGAGCATGACAACCAGGCGACAGGAGATCATCCTGGAGGGCAGCGCTGACGGGCAGACTTGGTGGGAGTTCCATCATCGGTACAAGCCTGATGCGATCGACAAGGCTCCAAAGCCGCTGGCACCACTGCACATGCCCCGTGTCGACTGGAACTTCTGGTTCCTGCCGTTGCAAGGTGAGCAACCGCACTCGAAAGGATGGGTCCACCTCCCTCCGTCAATGCCCATGTCATGTCCCCTGTGCCCTTCTCCCCCCATCCACTCCCATCCACACACAGGTGGAGTAGCGTCGAGCCCGTGGTTCTTTTCCCTCGTCAGGCTGATCCTCGAAGGCTCGCCTGACGTGTATCGCATCTTCACACGCAGCACACGGCGGGCAGCCGACACTGATGAATGGACAGCCGCCGTGGGCAGCAAGAACGACACGTCGCGAGAGCTGCTGCCGTTTTCCCCTGCAGAGCCGCCCAAGTACGTGCGTGGCAAATTGTATACATATGAGTTCAGTGGGGGTGCGGGTGGCGGGGAGGGCGGGGGCGAGTGGGAGGAGGGCAGGCACTGGCGGCGCAGGCTCGATGGTGTGTATCTGCCGCCGGTTGCGCTGAGGCCGTGAGTGAGTGAGTGATCGATAGTAAGGAGTGATTGAGTGGTTTGGTTGTGTGGCTTGGTTGTGTGGCTTGGTTGAGTCTTGGTCGTGGGTCATGCGGACGCGATATATATACTTAGTAGGTGGGACCTGGGTGTGCACTGTGGCGTGAAGCGCAGGAATGCGTTGTTCAAAAAACAGAAAAGCGCACATACAGCAGGGCGATAGGGTCTCCCCCCCTGAAACGGAATCACGTCAGTCAGCAACAGTGCAACGATGGCTCACGCACGTATCGTTCGCCGCAGCTGACCTCCCTAAGCAATTGATGTTCGCTCCCTGACAGGCGAGAAAACACGAAGCGAACGCTGCTGAGATTCATCCGTCAAGTGCTGCCCCCGGTTGATGCGTTGCGTTTCCCTCAGGTGTTTGCACGGCAGATCCTTGGCACAGTTCGGATGGAGCTCTGTCAGCCCGAGAGCCGTCCGAAAGAGATGGCGGCGGATCTGCACGGGGCAGGTGCTGCCGTCACATTGGTGCAGGGGCTGGAGAGGCTCCACGTCCTGGACTTCGAGTTCAGCCTCTCAAGGATGCAAGTCATGCCCATGTACGCCAGACATTCAAACAAACTTTGCAGGATGGATGGGTGGTCAACGCAGTCAGCTACACAACACCCTCTGCAAAGACAGACAGTCGCTCTCTCCCTGACTCTGTCTGCTGTGGTGTGTTGTGGTGCAGCCTGACTGAGCTGCTGTCGGCCAAGCGTCCCCGGACGCCCCGACCCACAGGCACGTCCACACAGCACAGCACACGCAAAACTAAGGCGAGGCAAAGCACACATGTACAGAAGCAATGCTTCTTGTGCGCCTTTCCAGGGTCTGTGTGCGGCGTCGGCCTCAGCAGCAGCATGGTGGCGACGGGAGAGGCCAAGATGAGGGCCGTGCAGGGGCTCAAGAATGAGCTGGAGGCCTTCAGGGAGGAAATGAACAAACTACACAAGGCCATCGAAGACGATCTCGACAGACTGTAAGACAAAACCCCTCTCACTCAAACACAGACAAAGGGTGGATGGATGGACGAATGGATGCCTTCACGGTGTTTTTCTGGATGTGTCAGGAGTGTTCACCTGCCCATCAAGTCTCTGTGCCGCCTGCGGCAGAGCGACATCCTGGGCTATCTGACGTGCGGCGGCACACGTCACCCTCCCACACAGGCCATCACTCTCCTCCATCCATCACCCACCCTCCCCCACACAGACCCGCCCAAAGAGCACAGCCACACGTCCAAGTCCCGCTACGCCATCTGCTCGCCAGCCATTGGCGACGACTCAGACCTCCTCAAGCGTGCACAGGACGCGGCCAACAAGGCCATGCTCCGCCGACTCGAGGAGTTCATCCGCGATGAACGACGAGACACCGTCCGTCTCATTACCCCACCCGCCCTGCAGCGGTACAGCCAGCAGCTGGCGGTGCTGGCTGGCCGTGTGCAGAGGGTGCGTGAGCTCAAGGTGGCCTTGCGGCAGTGTCTGGCCAAGGGGGTGGTGATGGAGCTCCACCTGGACGAGGAGGGCCGGCCGACCAAGAAAGCCAAACAAGGTGGGGGTGGTGTCGGTGGTGGGGATGAGGGGTATCATGGGGATGACGAGAGCGGCGATATGGAGATGGACGACGGGGAGCTGGTCGAGGACGAGTGCCGTGACGAGAGGGAGATCAGAGGCTCGTTCGGTTCGCCGCCCCCGTGCCCCCCTCCCACACTCATCGACGAGCCGCCCGAGACTGCACACAAGGAGGCATCGGCCAGCAGCACCAAGACGAAGCTGCCCGAGCCCCCGAGCTTCTGCCGTCGGACCGTCAGCTGCCGTGAGGCCCTCATCAACTCAGGCGAGAACCTGCGCCAGATCCACCTCATTCTCGACCTTGACGCGACCCTGGTACGCGTATATCAAAAGGATTGTCCAATCCCCTCTCTCTATCGTTATGCGTGTGTGTGTGTGTGTGTGTATGTGATTTCCTGCCTCTTGTCAGGTGCACGCCGACGCCGTTCAGGCCATCGCAGTAGAGAAGCGCCGTCCCGTGCCGGACGCCTACCAGGTGCGTCTTCCCCGAAGGGTTTGGTTGAATGGGCACAAACCCTGGGGGGTTACAACTGTCTTCGTTGTATCAGGCTGACGACCCGCCCCCGCCCCTGTTCCAGCCGGCATCGCGGCTCAAGCGCCTGTCACCCAGCAAGAGAGTGGCCGGCAAGGACGACGACGGTGCTGCCGTGGCTGCATCGGGGGGCAAGGCGAAGACGCCCCGCGATGTGCTCGAGGAGGCCGAGGCGAGGCTCATCTCCAAGAAGGTGGAATTCTTCGCAAAAGGCGCGTACGTCGACCGACTGGTGAGAGAGGGAGAGGGAGAGGGAGATGGAGGGATCATGTGTTGGATGAATATTATTGCGTTCTCTTTGCCTCAGGTGGAGTATCAGCTGTTTGTGCGTCCTGGCGTGGTGGAGTTGCTGCAGGAGGTGAAGCGTACACAGAGCAAGCAAGGCAATCGTGTGTGTACTTACGTGTGTTGTGTCTGCGCGTGTGTGTCTGCGCGTGTGTGCAGGCGTTCCAGTGCCGTCCTGGCGACCGCGGGTTCTTCAAGGTCCACATCTGCACACTCGGCAAGGAGGCCTACGCAAAGGTACGTGGGGACCACCACACACACACACACACACACACAGAGAGAGAGAGAGAGAACTGGAACATCCCTCTCTCCCTGCCTCCCTCCCTCTTTCAACACATGTCTGTGTCCCTCGATGTCTTTCCGTCAGGCCATTCAGAAGACACTCGAGGACATGATGAGTGAGACAGCGCCCAATACACACTTGCCTGCCTGCACTAGTGGAAGGACACATGGGTGTGGTGTGGTGCAGGAGACGCCGGTGTGCGCGACTTTGTGTTTGGCGAGTTGGTGGCGTACGAGCACTTCGAGCGGCACCACAAGATTCAGAATCTGCGGTCCACCTACTCCAGACCGTCCCCCGTCTACAAGAAGCTGTAAGTAAGGCACACTCTGACTGACACCGACACACGCCACGCCAGACAGCGAGACACATACACACGCGCACTCACCCCACCCTGCACGTGTCTATGGATGTGTGTGTTGTGTGCAGTGCGGTGTTGGCTGAGAAGCTCAAAATGAAGCTCTATGACCTCCAATGCAACGCAATCATCCTCGACGACTCGCCGGGCGTGTGGATTGAGGATTTCGCGGTAGGTAAAACTGACTGACGAGCCAAAACATCCCACCCTGCCGCACATTCTTGGTTGTGTGTCATTCAGCATGTGGTGCCGTCGGTGCGTTGGTGTCGCTGGCCGAGTGATTTCATGAGCCGGCATCTGGCCTGGGCCATCGAGGCGGACCCACCGCACACACAATACGTCACCGACAGACAGCTATACACGTGAGCGACCCAGCGATACACACACATCTATCTATCCATCCATCCAAGCCACCCATCCATCCGCCCTCTGTGGCTGCTTTGTCCCTCAGGTTTACTGAGTTGCTCAAGGAGGCTCGGACACATCTGTTAGCCTCCCTCTGTCCACACCTGCATGGCCTCATCACTGGATGGTTTAATTAGGTTCGCGCCCGGCGGCAGCTGCGCCATCACAGCCCTCAACCGCTCCATCAGCACACACATCAACCTCACCATGACCGCACCCGAAGTCCCCGAAGGTCAGTCAATCAATCAATCAGTCAGTCAGTCCCTCCCTCTCCGTCCATCCACCCTCGTCCCCTTCTCTTTGTATGTGTTCACATGCAGGTATGCGGGCGGTCCGTTTTGCCTTTCCCGAAGGATTCGAGTCGACGAGGGATCGCAAGGCCCTCAAAGAGTGGTCAGTCATGGCATGCCTCCTTCAGCGCGCACCCCAACGCAGCAGCCATGTGTGTCTGTGGCGCATACAATGTCTGGCTGCAGGGTGCAGAGCCTCATCGAGCGCTATGGCGGAGGAGTCGTCGCGGTCGAGAAGCATGGTATTATGCCTGACCCCCCCACCGCCCCACCAGCTGACACGTGTATTTATGTGTGTCTCTTGTTTCTCTCTGTCGTGCAGCTGACATTGTCCTGCACGGTGACTACACTGGCCATGGGCGGCTCCGTTGGACCTCTACTCGCTCCGAAACTGCCCACGGCCGGCCGACGGTGTCGGCCCGCGACATCCACCTGGCGCTCACCAGCTTCACGACCCTGCCCGCCGTCCAGGCTGTCATCGACGGGGTGCAGAGGCGTGACTGAGTAAATGTAATGTGTTGTGTGTTTGTACGTTGGACGTCATGCATGTATAGGGGAGAGGACTTTCCCACCGACTGACCGACTGTGCGTGTGCGTATGGATCGAGTTGGATTGAACTGCAATGGATTGATCTGATATATCAGTCAGTCTGTCGTTCGTTCGCCTACCTACCGCACGGCACGGCACGCAGCCATGACACAAACATCCAAAGCATCCATCCATCCATCCATTCACACATGCAGAGCAGACAAGGGGCCACAGCCAGCCATCAAACAACAACAAATGCAGCCAGTCCCACGCCACTCATCGATCACATGAATGGCTGCATCCATGGATGGCCACACAGGCAGCCAGGCAGGCAGGCAGGAAGGCAGTGTCGTGCACGTCGCCAGCTACAATTGATATCCGACGGACGGGGGGAGGGGGGGCCCTTGGTAGCGCTCTGTCCTCGTGCGTCTGTTTTCCCGCCCAATTATCTGTAGGTCTGTCTGTCTGTCTGTCTACCTCTCTCTTAAACTGATTCCAGCCACGGCAAACAGACACACGGCATGCAGGCAACACGAAACGCGCAGACAGACAGGCATCTGTGGGCATCATGTCATGCATACACACACACATCACATCGGTGGATGGATTCGCTATCTCTCTCTCTCCCTGCCACTCTCGCACTCCCTCCCTCCCTCCCGGTATCGTATCTTGCCGCCCGCCATGCCGCCCGCACACAGCCTCTAATCCCTTTATCCATTCAGCCATGCAGCCATCCACCATAAGCTGCACCAACAGGGAGCACACACACACACGAAGATTGTATGGGGCACATTCTTCGTTTTGTTGTATGTGTGCGTCAGCTTCGTACCGTGTGTATGTGTGAAGGCCATCCCATGCACTACCGTATCCTCCTCTCAGCAGCACATGCACTGCTTGCACAGCGGACCACAGAAATGTAAGCAATGGCATGGTGTGGTGCGTCTCTCTCTGTCTCCCTCCGTGTGTGTGCTGCATGGCTTACCTTCTTGCCGCGTCTCTGGCGGGCAGGGGGCTCGTGCATCCCACGCCGCCCGGCCTCGCCGAACTCTGTGGTCACACACACGTACATCCAGGCACACAGACAAAGATGGCTGTCTGTTTGTCTCTGTGATGTTTTGTGTGTGGGTGGGTGGGTGGGTACGTTGTGTGGTGTTGAGTGTGAGCCCCTGTGCGGGTGGGTACGGCGACTCCTTCTGAGGGAGGTAGCCCTCGGCGCCGAACTGCAGCTGGTTGGCCTGCTCGGCCGACATCTGCTGCACCTTCATCGTGATGTAGCCCTTCGACACGCGCTTGCTAGTCGGCTGAAACAACCCTCTGGCAAAGGAGGCAGAGAGGAGAGGAGGGGAGCGCGTGTGTTGTGTTGTCTTGTGTTCCGTGGCGTGTGGGGCCGGTGGTTGGGAGTGCGTGTGTGGCGCACAGCCTGCCCTGCCTACCCCTCAGAGTAGAGGGGGTAGGTGCGTTCGACGCCCAGCTGGGGGTCCTGCCACTTGAGGTCCACCGAGGTCGAGCCTATCGTGTCGCCACGGAAGAAATCCTAAGGCCAGACACACACGCGGAGAGAGAGATGGGAGGAGTGACGCCGTGGGTGGGTGGATGGATGTGTGTGTGTGTGTGTGGTGCAGGTACCTGTTCGATGACTTTGATGAAGAGTTGGTTCTCCCCGCTGTAGGGCATGATGATCTTCTCTGATGGATGGACCAACGGACGGACGGACGAACGCAAACGTGACATTCAATGCGTGTGTCGTGTATGTGTGTGTGGGCGTGTGTGTGGGATACGGTATCTGAAGTCGCAGTCGTCGAGTCTGGGGTCGCGGGTGCTCTTGACCGCCTGGGCCGGACCCACCTTGTACTGCTCACTGACAGACACCACAAGACACACACACGACAGAGAGAGATGGATGGATGGATGGCTGGATGGATGGAGGGCGACGCGAGTAACCCTTGTTTCTCTCTGTCTGTCTGTTGTGTGTGCATGTGATGTGGTTCTTTCTGTGCCTGGCGATTTGGTTGTCGTTGAATCCGGCCACGATGAGGTATTCGCTGCGGCCGAACTCAATCCCGAAACGCGGCACCTCCGTCAAACGACCTACCGTCAACACCACCTACACATAACACAATACGACACAAGACAACCCAACACAAGACAAGACACGCAGTCGTATGCACACTGTGGTGAGTGAGTGTATGTCTCTCTCTCTCTCTCTCGTCCCTCTCCCTCTTGCTGTGTCGGCTTGGCTGCTTTGCTAGCTGTACTTACCACCTGTCCGTAGACCGAGGCGGATCCTGCAGAGCCGTAGCTATACAACTGCTGCACACCGTAGCCTGATCACACACACATCACACACGACACGACACGACACGACACGCGTACACACGAGGCCCCCACCATCACCTCATCCCTCCCACCCCACCCCGTCCCATCTGATCCATCTGATCTCATCTCTCTCACCTACCTTCAGCGGGTGGGTATGGGCTGGTGTAGGTCCCATACAGCCCCTGGCTGGTCCCCGGTGCCGCGTAGGTTATCCCCGCCCCTCCCCCATACCCCCCCGCAGGTGTGTAGAATGACGTGGTGGCGGGCGCCGCCACGTGGAAACTCTGGGTGGCCGGTGCCGCCGGGTACACCGACGGCCCCACGGCAAACGACATGCTCTGCGGCAAGTTGACACCCTGCGGCGCGGCAGACGTGTAGTACGTCTGCCCGCCCACACCGCCCACACCCACACCCGGGGCGGCCGTGTAGGTCTGCCCGATGGCGAATGAGGCCGCGTGTGGGAGTGCCGTGTAGGTGAGGTTCTGTGTACCCAGGGGCTGGGCCGCCTGGTACCCAACCGCCTGGGGGACCGACGGGTATGTGTACGATGCGGGTGCCTGCGCCGTGGGGTTGGCGTAGGTGTAGTAGGGGGCCGTCGCGGGGCTCGTGAGGTTGAGGCCGGCGTACGGATCCGCCGAGGCGCCAACCGGCGTGCCAACCGTGCCACCAATCACACTCCCCTGCATGGACACAGAGAGCATTCAGAAAAGGCGGAATATGTTCTGTTTCTGCAATTTTGGTGGTGCGTTGCGTTGCTCACCGAGAAGGGGGGGTTCTGCGAATACGAGTAGTTCTGCGAGTACGAGTACGGAACCTGAGAATACGGGTCAGAAGGCTGCAAAACAGGACCACAGAGCCCAGATGCACCATCATGGACGACCCACCGCCCATCCTCTGCTCTCACCGATGCGTATGAGACGACTGTGCCGGCAGGGTAGCCCGAGGGCGCCGCGAGGGTCTGAGCTCCGTACACGGCCTGCCCCCCCGTCACCACCTGGGGCGCCACAGTCGCCGGGGCGGCCGCGGCAGCCGCGGCTCCACCAGATGCATCCATCACAGCTACACTCACAACCTGAGAGGGCAAAAGGGATGAAATACGGTCGCCTTGGTGTGGATCTGGCCCCTGATGGTGTGTTCTGCTGACCTATGGCGTCAAAACGCTTTCTCTTCAGCTTCAACTCCTGCGAGCTCGAGCGAAGCTGGCCAGAGTTGGGCTGGCATGAAGCCTTTGATGGCGAAAGCCTCAGGAGCTGTCGCCAGCTCCCAGAAGGAGCAGCCGCAGCAGCAGCCGCCCGCCATCTCCACGCACGGATCGCATCCCACCACGTTTCCACCCTTTTTCAGCACCACGATGGCCGCCAGCGCCCAGCCCAACGGTCCCAACCCCCACGGACCTACCAGCATCACGGCCGCGCTCCGCATGCCCATGGGCGTGCCCATCCCTCCCAACACCGGACAGGTGGCTCGGTACGGCTCCGGCGCCCCGTATCCGGTCTACGCACCCATCGGCGGCCCCTACCCGCCGCCCTACATGGCCATGGCAGGGGTGGCAGCCGCCCCGCACCGGCCACCAGCACCCCACACGGGATCTCTGAGTTTGTCGGCTGTGCAAGGCGCTGGGCAGGGCCAGGGGACGGCCAAGGGGGGCGCATCTGCGGTGGTGACGGGTAGTACGACGGGCGCTGGCCATGGTGCAGGTGCTGCATTGGGTAAGGGGTTTGTGGCGCCGGCTGCTAGCGGTGTGGCGAGGGAGGGCAAGAAGGGCGGCTCTGTAGGTGCGGGTGTTGGGTCCGCTGCAGCAGCTGCAGCTGTGGAGGTTGGTGTGAAGGCGGGCCCTTCGTCGTCGATGGGTGTTGGTGCTGATGCTGGTGTGGGTGTGAAGGGCGGTAGTCTTAAGGATGACCAGCGTCTGGGTGCGGTGCAGCAGATGCAGCACCAGATCGGGCGGCTGCAGAGCATGTTGAAGGAGCAGGAGAACTATAGCCGACACGTAAGCTGAGGAGAGAGAGGAGGGATGGGATCCGTGAGGGAGGGAGGATGGGACAACCCATCACATCATGATATGTTTGTGGCGTGTGTGGGTGTTGTCTGTGTTGTGTGTGTGTGTGTTCAGTTGCAGGGCCAGATAGCGCAGATGCAGCAGACCCAGCTGGAGTCCAACCAGAGGGAGATGCAACTCAAGTATAGAGCTGACGCAACACCCCCACTCATCCCACACCGCCACTTTTCCCGTTTTGATTTCCCCCTCTCTCTCTCAGGGCTGCGTTGGCGGAGCAGAAGCGCAAGACCCAACAACTGCAGGCAAGGAAGGCACAACCAACACGCCACTCCACATCAACACAACACACCGCTTCACCTCCTCCCCATTCATCCATCCATCCACTTACTTGTTGGATGTGATGTGTTGTGTTGCGCCTCCTGCCTGGGCAGGAGTCGTATGCGGAGATCCAGTGCCACATGCAGGCGGCGCAGCACCACATGGAGATCGTCCCCAACCCGCCCCACGGCATGGGTGGCGGCCCCCCACCCCCTGACATCCGCGAGACCCGGGACCGTGAGACCGCCGAGCAGCAGCAGCAGGTGCCCCGTGTGCGGCGATCCAGTGGGGTGGGGAGCGGCGTGGGTGTGGTGCACCATCGTCGCCAGAGCAAGGGGCTGTTCCAGAACTCCACACTGGCGACGGACGCTAGACTGAGGTGAGGCGACTGACTGACTGATGTGCAAGAGGTGCTGGTCAGTCAATGGTCATGACACGTTGCATTCAATGCATGTGTGGCTGCACTGCAGGACTCGTGAGCGTCAGGGTTTGATAGCTGAGGGGACACCCAAACACCCTTACATAGCCGAGGCGGTGAGAGAGACAAGGGCAGCCAGGCAGGACAGGACAGGAGGGATGGCCAGGCGACCGACCCACAACATCTGCATGTTCCTGCGGTTGTGTGTGTGCCATTAGGACGACGAGATCGACCAGAAGTTGGCCAGCTTGTACAACGGATTCGGTCACACAGACAAACCACAACACACAAGAAATACAACACACACACATGGACGGGGCGGGCGCAGAGACATACAGAGACATGTGTGTTCTGTGTGTGTATTTCTCACTCACATGCCAATGCACTGCAATGCCATGCAGCTGCTGAGGTGCCGTTCTACCGCATCAACAAGGGCCTCTACATCTACGGCACCATGGAGGTCACGCTCGACGTCAAAAACAACAAACTCTTCGGTCGGTCGCTAGACACGCACACACATCATGACATGATGCCCAGCCAGCCCATGCCCTCCCCCCTCCCTCCCTCCTCCTCAACAAAGAGAGAGCGTCACACGACGGCGCGCGCGCGCGCGCGCGTGTGTGTGTGTGCAGTCAAGAAGGAAGACTGGAACCACGGCAAGTTCGCTGACTTGGAGCGTTTCCTGTCGGTGTTCGAGCCCCAGGAGAGGACCAAAATGCCACTCGCTGACATGCCGCGACACACACCTGGTAGGCACAGGCAGAGGCAGGGGCGGGCAGGCAGGAAAAACCTATGCATGAGTGACAGAACAGACAGACCCCACACACATCAAGATGAGGGAGGACACACTTGGAATGCATGTGTGTTACGTGTGTGTGGACAATCAGGCATGCGGGGCGGCTACCATCCCCGTGAGGATGACGACGACGAGGGCGAGGGCGTCGAGCAGGTCATCAACGCCTTCAGCCCCACCGGGCAGCAGTAGACAGACAGACAGACACCTAGATGGATGGATGGCATACCACACCACACCCAGGTTGAGAGAGAAAGAGAGACAGAGACACGAGGCGTAGCTACGAAGGATATCTGACTGACTACTTGCGGGGTGGCTGGGCGGCTGGCTGGCTGGCTGAGTGGGGGTAGCTTTGGCACAGCGCGCACGGCACGGTGGAAGATCGATGGGGATGCATTGCGTGACGTGTTTTAACCATTGCGTGAGAGCGGCTGGCTGCGGTTGGGTGGCTGGGTGGGCGCGTGACTCGCTAGGTGTCCATGTGTGCGCACATGCATGTGAGTGGCGGTTTTCGTGTCTGTGTGGCGCATGTGAGTGTGCGTGGCTGACGAACGAACGGATGACTTAAAGATGGTCCTCACCTCACACACACCACACCACACCAAGTGTCACTCACATATATGCAGCCCCACACAACACAAGAAAGCGATGCACGGCCATGGGCCCTCACATCAAGGGTAGGGTGGCGTGCCACATGTCGTGTCCGTCCATGTGTCAACACGTACGAACCCTTTCAGACCCACAATGGATGGATGGATGGATGGAACCGAACCACATGCGATGCGCACACACGGCTGGAGCACTCACTCGAGAATAGACCCGTAGACCTGTGTGTCGCGGTCAGAACGGTCGTGTCAGTGGTAGGTGCGAAGGTCACATACAGACAGACAGAAGCGTTAGCTATGGCATAGTTAGTGTACACTCATTCACTCACTCACAGCACTCGGTCAACCCACTGACCGATAGGATAGGTGGACGGGATGGATGCACAACGAAAAAGACGACAGACGTCTATCTACCTCAGATGTCGAACAAGAGAGAACATCTGAGCTCTGACCTGGTCCTGTGCCGACCTCCCTCCCCTCCTGGCTAGTTGTCCTGTGTGTGACTCAGCCGCACGCTGGCCTGACTGTAAGCGCGCTCAAGGCCTACAGCCAGAGTGTGTGTACGAGACGAAACAACAGCCAGCCACCCCACCGATGGATGGAAGGCAGCAGAACACGCAGGCTTGTTCACTCACTCACTCGCTCACTCACACGTCGTACTTAAACCGCCAGGTGGGGTGGGCTGGGCTCTCCCCCCCTCCTCTCTCCGCCCGCGCCTCTCTCCGCCCGCGCCTCTCTCTTACACACCACACGACGAAAAACACAGGGATCTCTCACCACCCATCCCATCCCATGCACACAACGAACGTACTGCCATCAGCACAACGAAGGCTTGACCTCCACGCACTTCCTTCCGCTCCTTCCTCTCCTCTCGTCTCCTCTCTCAATCTACCTACCATGCATCTTTTGCACACGCCACTCCGGCCCGACACCCTCTGTCTACTCATCCAGGACGTCAAGCACGTCAGTCAGGGTGCCCTGCCCTCTGCGGGTGTCTTTGTTCGGTGCCTCCTTCTTGGGCGCCTCCTTGGTCTCCGTAGGGGCCTTGGCGCTCTCATCCTTCTTCTTCTTGTCAGACAGCTTGGCGGCCTCCTCTGTCTTGGTCTCCTCCTCTGTCACGACGGGAGCAGCCGCGACGGCCTCAGGCTTCTTCTCCTCTTCTGGCAGCTCTTCCTCCTCCTCCATCTCTTCCATCTCCTCCATCTCCTCTTCTTCTTCTTCGACAGCGATGGGAATGCTGCGTGCCTCTGGCTCGGGCTCGGCGGGGGTCTTGTTGAGGGTGATGCGCAGGATGCCGTCGCGGAACGAGGCCGAGATGCCCTCCATATCCACATTGCTGCAGGCAAGAAGGCAAGGCAAGGCGAGACAAGATGGATTAGATTAGGGGGTCTGGGTGTGTCGAGTCGTGTTGGATGCGCTCATGCTCAGCTCACTCAGGGAGTCTCCAGGATCGTGAGAATTTGCCGTATGACCGCTCCTGAGTCATGAAGCTCACGCCTGTGCGGGTCTCGGCCTTGGTCTTGTGGCCCTCGACCTTGAGCACGCCCTCCTTGACCGTCACCTTGGCATCCTCCTTGGCCACACCTGCAGGCAGGTCGAACCAACCGTCATAAGCTGTGACTGACATGATGCCCGTCGGTCTGTTGTGAGTCAGTGAGTGGGCCGGGTGACTCGATTCGATTCAAGTCACCTGGCAGCTCTGCGTCAATGATGTACTCGTCATCTGTCTGCAGGACGTCCACACGAGGCGAGAAGTCAGCCATCGACGTGCGGTACGGCTCGAAACCAGTCGACACTGCACACCACCCCACCACACACAGACCGACACACGCACTGTAGACTACGTGTCGTTTTGTCTTGTTGTCTCACTGGATGTGCTGACCTCTGAAGATGTTGTCGAGCTGCTTGCGCATCCTCGACATGTCCCTCTCCACCGATGGGTCAATGAACACATCACAAGGACCTCGTGATCTTGAGGAGGAGCCCCGTCGTGCTCCCCGGTGATGCCTCGACGAGTGGCGGCTTCGGTCCCGGTAGCAGTCGAGCGATGTCACGGCCACCGCATCGATGTCGGCATCTGCTGCCCCAGTCAGCGCCCTCTGCAGGTGCCTGTGCCCACTGCTGAGGAATCGTGCTTGTACAGGGCTGACAGTGAATGCATCGACCTGCGTCGACGCAAGCAGCAAGAGAATGCAATTGATAGCGAGCATTTCAGAGACGGAGATCTGCGCGATTAGCTCGCAGGGAGAGCTCACAGCGGTTTTACGGGGAGATGGTTAAGGGGGAGAGGAGGAGAGAAGCGGCCCATCACACACCTGCCACAGCGGCTGCAAGACAACAGAAGACAAGACCACGGCTGGCCTTCTGCTCACTGGGATCCGGCCGAATGGGAACGCACAACGACTAGAGCGGACGTCGTCGTCTGCCGTGGTGGAGTGGCCCTCTCCGACAGCCATCTGCAGCGCGGCACGCTGATCTCCGCCCCAGCGTCATCCCCCACTGTCACGTGCCCATTTTTACGTCGATTTTTGCCGAAATCGACTTGGAGAGAGGTGCGTCCGTACGGAAGGAGAACACACACGACCCGCCACCGGCCGTTCGAATCCGCGGGGGTATGATCGGCAACCCGCTGACTTGGCGTCTTTTTGGGTAGACTGACTGACAGCTGAACAAACGACCGGATCACCTTGGATTGGAGGGACATCCTGTCGGCTCGCTCACTGAGGAGGTAAGGTACCTGACCGCAAACAGCCAAGCAGCGTCGCGAGTGGCGGCACTTGACGAAGGAGGAGGAGGGTCTGTTCCGCAAGTCTTGAGCGCTCCCCTTGCCTGTCCATCCGTTGATGGCCTCTGGTAAACCACACACACAGCTCGCCGGGATCCATGTGGATGATACACGTTAGTGAGCTTCATGTTCTGCTCCCTCCCTCCCTCCCTCCCTCCCTCCGTGTGTGTGTGTGTGTGTGTGTGTAGGCATGCCCCACTCGACCCCCGCATCTCCCAGTCGCCCGTCCCACCAGGCGCCCCTCGCCCACCAGCTATCTGCCGCGTCATCGAGCATGTCGTCGTCCTCTGCAGGAGGTGGCGGCCAGCCGTCCTACCCCCCCACACACAGGGGGACGGGTGGTCCCCCAGCCAGCCTGCCCTCTCCCTCCTCGTCAATGCCCCCGTCTGTGTCGACCGGTTCGGTCCCCCGCCGCTTGTCAGATGATCTGCCCCCTCACATGCAGTTGGCCCAAACAGTCGCCGACGCACACGCATTATCGCAACAACACCACTACCACCAGCAGTACCCCATCGACCAAGGCGGGGCAATCGACAGCCAATCGGCCAAACAGACCGACTTCTCCATCCTGCAGGAGAGCCAACCCCCAATCCGCACCATGGGCACCACGACGACCACGATGCAGATGCACCAGTGGCAGCAGCAAATGATGGCCGCACAGCAGCAGCAGCAGCAGCATGCGGCCGCTATTGCAGCGGCGCATCACGGCAGCACTGGCGAGATCGATGTGAGTCGTGAGGGCGACTACGGCGTCAGCGGTGCGGTTGCAGTGGCAGGAGGAGATGGCAGCGACGGTGGTGAGAGCGCGTCGATGAGGAAGCCGAATATTCTGTATAAGACGAGGTACTGCCGCTTCTGGCTGCAAGGCAAGTGCCTCTGGGGACCCAGCTGCAGATTCGCACACCACAAGGTCAGCTGAACACTGACGCCATGCGCATGAAGGCCGACAGACAGGAGGGGCTCCTGCTGACTGACGGTTTGTCTGGTTGATGTCATGTCTGTGTGTGTGTCATCCATCGCTGGCTGGGCTGCATGGCATGTAGGACGAGTTGCGCGATCGTCCGGATTTGAGGAAGACCAAGCTGTGCCAGGACTTCATGAGAGGCATGTGCAGAGACCTCAAGTACGCCACCACATCCATCACATCACTTACAACAGACAGACAGACAGACGCACACACGAGCCGAGCAGACCCAACAACAACAAATGACTGACTGACCTGGTTTGTGTCTGTCTGTCTGCCTGTGTGCAGTTGCAGCTACGCCCACTGCGTAGACGAGTTACGGCCCCGCGAGGAGCCAGCCGACCTCCCCCTCTGCGCGCCGCCCCCGCCATTCGACCTCGCACTCTCTCTCGGAGCCGCCGGCACCAGGGCCCGCATGAGAAGACAACGCGCCCAAGACCCCAGGATGGCACAAGCCCCTGGGCCCATCGCCGAGATGACCACGGGTATTCGCCTCGACGGCGGCAGGAGGAGCGCCATGAAGGACTCGGCGGTGCAGACGGGCGGCGACGACAGCAGTCGGCTGGGCATCCCCCCCTCATCCCCCTCCCCCAGGGGGGGCAAGCCCAACACCCCGGCCAGCGGCTCGGGCGGCCCCACGCCCAAGACAGACACCACGGCGTCTGGCAGCGTAAGTGCGGGCCTCAGCACCACAGAGACCTCACCCACACCCCTACACAGAGCACAGTACGGCCACGGTGGCCACCCCCACCATCACCACCACGACAGGCACGGCCACGGCCGGCTGGCCGCCCCCGAAGGCACCGGGGGCACGCACCCCGGCATGCACAACGTCGCTTCGGCGCCCAACGTGTCGACGGTTCCGCTGGCTGGCTTCGGTGACGTGTCTGACAGCCAGTCGGCGACGGGTGGGATGGCAGTGCGGCGTGGGGTGACGGAGAGCATGGTGGGCGAGGGTCTGGAGGGTCTGGCGGGCGAGAGCGAGCTGGGGATGGGCCTGGGGTACATCAGGATAGGGCAGGAGGAGGCCGCGGCCGCAGCAGTGCAGTCGCCACCCGTCATGGGGAGGCAATGGCAGGTAGCTATACACACACACACACACACGCAACCAGGTTCACTCTCTTCATGCACACGTGTTTCTCGTTGTGTCGGTGTGTGTGTTGAGCAGTTTATGGGAGGCTACCCGAAGGAAGGTAGCAAGATGGTCAGTGTGGGCGTGGGGCCAGACGACGGACCGCTGCTGCAGCAGCAGGTGCCCACCCGGCCATCCCCCATCCCTCCCCAGCACCCCTCGTCATCCATCTCTCCCCCTGCCGTCCGCTCACGAGTGCCCCAAGTGAGGCGCCGCTCTCAGCTCTACTCGCCCAGCCACTCGGCCAGCGGTCACTACGGCATGCGCGAGATGCCCAGCCCCAGCCCATCTGTATACGGTGGCGGTGTCAGTGCCGGCGCATCGCCGCTGATTCTCTACCCGCCGCCCAGTGAACATACGGCCGCCCCACCGGGGTACCCCATGTACCCGCAGCACCAGCAGGCGGGCTGGACCACCCCCAATCCATACGGCTACCCTCAGGGAGACGTTCCTCCCTCGCCATACCAGACGCTGCCGTCGCCCCCACACGCCCCGCAGCCTCCTTCTCCTCACCCGGGTCGATACCAGCAGCCCCCGCCCCAGCCGTCGCCGCAGCACCAGCAGTCTGCCCACAACTTCTACCACCACTCGCCCTACGTGCCGGGTGGCATGATGGGTATGCAGCACGGCCACCCCCACCCGACGTCGCAGCCGCCCCCACCGCCACCACCAGACATGTCTGGGGCGATGGGACCGCGCCGACACGGCGCGGGCATCTGACTCTCACTGCTATATCTCTCTGTGATGGATGGACGCCAGTCGGTCACAGCGGATGGATGTACGTGTGCATACCATAAGTAAGTGTCTACACGGAGGGGAGGGGAGGGGGGGAGGGGGGGAGGTGACTGGTTGGTAGGTAGGTAGGTAGATTGGGCTTGCCTGGCTGCTGCTGATTGACTGACTGACTGACTGACTGACATGGATGGCTGGTGGGTGGGTAGAGGTAGGATCCTGCTGGCTGGGCGGGCGCTGCGTGCGTCTCTTGCTGGCTTGGCTGTTTTCCCTGAGGTTGGTTGGTTGGTTGTAAGACAATAAGGGCTGGATGTCTGGCGGCTGGGTGCGGTGGGTGGGTGGGTTTGGACAAGAACGAGAAGATAAGACGATCGATGCTGGCTGGGTGGTATCGCATCGCAGACACGTGTCAGTGAGTCAGTCAGTCAGTCAGGTGGTGTCTTTGCCATGCCATTCGTTGTCAGTCACTGAGATCGGCAAGCTTAGGATGGATGAGGGAGGGGCGAAGAGAGAAACACAGACAGAAAGAAAAGAAGAAAGAAAGAAAGATCTGTGTCGGTGTCTGTGTGTCGTTATTGAGGCGATCGGGGTACGTACGGTTAGGCAGGCAGGCAGGGCGGCAGGGCGGCATTCTGCATGAAAGTGTGTATGGATGTAAGGCATGATTGGCCCTCCCTTCCTCCCTGCGTACGTACGTAAGTCACCAAGAAGGGCACAGAAGACCTTCTCCCTTCTGGATGGACACACACACACACATACACATTCACACCCCTTCTCTGCTGCCTCTCTGCCTCTCTCTGTCCGTGTGTCTGGCTGGGGGGTGGGGGCTGGAGGGGACTGGAGGGGGGGCGCACCAATGCTCTCGCTCTCTCAAGGAGTACGGACCGGTTGATTGCAATGCATGTTGGCTTTTCTGTGTAAATACGCCCGTCCGCCCCGCCAATCTCTGTCTGCCTGTCTGTCTGTCTGTCTGTCTCTTTGTCGTTCCATCTCTCTATCGCCTCTGTTGTGCATGGCCTGAGTGTTGTGGGGACATCTGTGGGCGGTGGGGTGGGGTGCGCTGCCGCTGCCGATCCTCGTCTGCTTTATCGATCCACACCACAGTGAGGGGCTATCTATCTACGGGTTTGTTTGTAAGAGGGGGCTGCTCAGCTTGCACACCCACACCACAACGACCGACCGACCTGCCCACAATCGCATTGTTTTTTGCATGAAGTACTGCAAGGGGTCACATCCTTATCCTTCAAGGCTTCACGCTTCTTTGTTACGCTTCTTTGTTTATTAGCCGCTTGCGTGTAATGTGTTGCCATCCCGTCCTCAGTATATCTCGTTCTTTCTTTTTGTGTGTCTGGCTGGCTGTGTGTGTGTGTCTGTGTGTGTGTGTGTCACGCTGCGCTACAAAGGCGTCTCTTTCTTTTTGACGGGTCGGGTGGGTTGGCTGTGTCAGTCAGGAGTTGGTCTTTCTTTGGTAAATCTGTGTTGTGTTGTCTGTGGTGTTGTGGCATGTCCTGTCGTGTGTGTCGTAGGGATGGGGCAAGGGGGCGGCAGGAGGTTAGCCAGCGGCCCATTTGTCGAAAGACAGAGGTAGGTAGATAAATGGATAAATGGATGGATGGACCGACCAATCGCACGCAGACAGCAAGGGAGCGAGACAGACAGGCCATGCCGTTGGGCGGGGGGGGGGGGGGG